TGTAAAGCAGATTAATCCCCGGAGGTGGGTACTGACAGATAAGGGACTCGAAGAAATCTTGTGGAGTGATGGGAGTGTTCTAGATCTTGACTGCTGTATGGTTATACAAGAGCATATATTTGGCTGTACACTTGAAGTGTGTGCATTTTATTGACAGTATACTGCAAATTAATCCCTTAAAAACAAAAATAAATGGTGTTTTCTGCTTCATTGGGTCCATCCTATTTTATGTTGTGCTTAAAAGTGGTGTCCCTGATTGCCTCTGAGAGGAAACTGGGTAGCCAGGGACAGGCGTGGGAAAGAGTTCTTCAAGCTGTTTACCCTTTTGTACTTTTAAACTTTTGAACTGTGAGGCGGTATTAGCGATTTCTTAAAATAAGTAAAATTTAAAAATAAGAAAAAGAATTTTAAAAACATGTTCTTTGTTGGTAAAATGAAAAAGACACAACCCTAAGACTATTGGGCCATTGCTCAATCTATTTCAGGTTGTAGAAATCCTGCTACTTGAGACAGGCACTATCCGTGGTCTGTGTTTTATCAAATTCCTTGGAGCTATGAGTGAATGCCATTTTTTTAGTATTATTTAGTATTCCAGCATTTTTCATAAAATATATCATAGATAAGAACACATACATACAGACACACAGTTTTAAAATAATCAGAACTTGAATGTGACGTAACTACCACCAGAGCCAAAAAACAGAACACTGCCTACACCCCAGAACTTTCTATGTGCCTCTCTGTGGTCATACCTTCTCACTCCTCCCAGAGATAAACACTTTCTTGATTTTAGGGATAAGAAATGTCTTTCTAGGGGTGCCTGGGTGGCTCAGTCAGTTAAGCGTCCGACTCTTGATTTCGGCTCAGGTCATGATCTCAGGGTCTTGGGATCGAGGCCCGTGTGGGGTTCTACGCTGAACGTGAGCCTGCTTAGGATTCTCTCTCCCCCTCTCCTTCTGCCTCTCCCCCACCTTTCTCGCCCTCTCTTAAAAAAAAAAAAAAAGCCTTTCTAATCTCTTATGTCTACAGCCCTAATCGATACTGTTTAATGTGTTCAAAAACTTTTAAAAAACTGGATCATTCTACACATATTGTGTGTTTTGCCCAAAGTTACATTTGTAAAATTCATCTGTTTGTAAAATTCGTTGTTGCCTATAGCTGCAGTTTATTTTCACTGTGATATAGTATTTTTTTGAAGATTTTATTTGAGAGAGATAGCACGAGCTGGGGGAGGGGCAGGGAGAGAGGGAGAAGCAGACTCCCCACTGAGCAGGGAGCCACACGCCGGGCTCAATCCCAGGACCCTGAGATCGTGTTCTGAGCTGAAGGCAGACACCCAACCGACTGAGCCACCCAGGTGCCCTTCACCGTGATATAGTATTTTATGGTAGGAATGCATGTACCACAATTTACTTACCCATTAAAAGATTCATGGACACTTTGACATTTTTTTGTCCCCACTGCCTATAAAAAAAACAAGTCCAAACACATGGTCTGACATTCAGGGTGACCACACTGTCCCCAACTGTGTGTCCAAAACACCTAGCCAGTCTCCTCTTACTACTTTTCTCTACCAACTACTACCTGATCGCACCTGTTCAGTATATTGGTCAAAATATTAAGAACAATGTCTTAGGGCTGGAATGCTGTTGACCTTATATTAGATCTACCCAAATCGTCCTGTCCACCCAGGTGTTGTTCAAGCACAATCGCCTTAGGAAGACCCCATGATCTATTCCAGCCACTATGCTGTCACTCCCCCAAAATTCCATCGAATGCATGATGCTTTCTCTGCTTCTTCCACCACACCTGCTTCATGCGGCCTTACGTTATACCCATTTGTTATGGCTGTGTCTCGGATTTTGTGCTTCTAGTGCACAACACTAAAATCTTGCAGATAAAGGACAGGTGAAAAATGTTAGAGCTTTTGAACCCCAACTCAAAGTCTTGAAAGCTACTGCTGGGATCAGGTACCAAATCATTCAAAAAAGGTTTAAAAAGTTAATTTCCACAAAAATGCAGTAACACCAATTAAAGAAAAAACATCATCACTTTTGCTTAAGAAAAGATTTGGGTTCCTTATATTTTTAACATTGATCGTTTTTTCTCATAAAAAAATACAATTTTAGAGTCCCTGGGACAGAGAATGCTAGAGTGTCACATAATTTAAGATCACTTGATAAGAAGCACATTAAAGAAAATGATGACCCTGAAAATCATTTTAACCACAAAAGCAAGAGAGGGGGATAAAACACCAACATTTTACTGAAATTAATAAATGGATCAGAAATTACAACTAGTATAAGTATTTCAGAATTTTAAAAGCAGGACTCTTATCTTTTTGTCAAAGAAAATACATGCATGGAATGTAGATACTGCAAAGAGGAGAAGAAATAAAACAGATAAGCAGAAAGTTATAGCTGGGCTGAATGCCTGGCCATTGTTTGCCTCTCCATCAGATTCATAAAAAAAAAAAAAAAAATGGACGGGGGCGCTCTCCTGGCTCAGTCAGCAGAGCGTGTGACTCTTGATCTCAGGGTCATGAGTTCAAGCTGTACACTGGGTGCAGAGCTTACTCTAAAAAAAAAAAAAAGAATTTAAAAAAATTGACGGAAGACATCACTCCAAAATAATACCAAATATGCCTTTCAATTATTTTATGCAAAAATCCTTCTTTAATGGATGTTATTAAAAATACATCATAGAAAAAAAATGTTTTTAATTTACATTCCAGAAATTAGGCTAACGTTGTTAATATAAAAAGAGTTCCTACAAATCAATAGGGAAAAAGCCCAATGGCACAACTAAAAACATGGACAAAGTTATTTATAGATAATGCAAAGAAAATTATAGTGGCTCTTGAACAGAAGAAAAAATGCCCAAACCCAGAGAAATATAAATTAAAACCAAACTGAGATGCTCTTTTCACCTACCTGATATACAAGATCAAAAAGTCTGGTAAAATACCGTTGGCAAGGGTATAGAGAAACGGGCAGTCATACACATTGCTGGCTGGAGTATAAATTTATAGACCGCCAAGGAAATTCTATAATGATAGCCATCAAAATAACATGTGCACAGGGGCGGTTAAACACCCAACTCTTGATTTCAGCTCAGGTCATGATCTCAGTGTCTTGGGATTGAGCTCGGGATGAAGGCTCCCTGCTCAGTGGGGAGCCCGCTTGGGGATTCTCTCTCTCTCCCTCTCCCTCTGCCCCTCCCCCTGCTCACATGCGCTCCATCTCTCTCTCAAATAAGTCAATCTTAAAAAAACATTACACACGCACATTCTCTTGGACCCAGTAATTCCACTTCTGGGAACCTATCCTACAGAAATGCTTTCATATATGCAAAATAATGCATGTCCAAGGCCATTAGCTAGAACACTCAACTAGCAGAAGTTTAGAAAATATCTTAGTCCATCAGTAGGAGAAAGGTTAAATAATTTTTGACATCCTCATGATGGAATTCTCTGCAACTGAAAAAGAACAAGTGATCTCCAAGACATACAAGAAGAGGAATAACCCAAATAGTACCCTACAGTTTGCATAGAATATTTCCTATTTTTAAAAATATGCACAGTCTGGAACAATACAGAGGAAACTGGTAACATTGGTTGTCTCTGGGAGAAGACTGGGTGGCCAGAGACAGGCATGGGAAAGAGATCTCTGAAATGTGTATCGTTTTTTTACCTTTAAACGTTTGAACTCTGAGGCTATTCACTGTTTTTTAAGTAAATACAATTTAAAATTAAGAGAATTTTAAAAACGTGTTCCTCACTGGTACAATGAGGGAAACACCGTCCTAAGATTATTGTACTGTGGCTTGATCTAGTACAATGCAATATATCCTCATCTGAGGACTCACATAACTTCAGAACAGGATACAGAAATTTGGAATAAACACTAGAAATACATACAGCTAAAATAACCAAAATAAATTCACATTCAGCGACCCTGAGAAGATACAGCTCACTTTAAAGAGAAATCAAGACTAGCACAGATCAGCAGAAAAATTTTCAAGTTGCTCCAGGTAGCCTAGAAAACAGCAAGCGGTGTATGTTTTGTGTACTTTCTTACTTCCTAACTTTAAGGTTAATAAGTCCGTGTCCTGTAACGAGGTATCTCCTGCTGAACCCCTGCTTATTCTGCACTGTGGGGATCATGATTATGAGGGCACAGTTGCAAAAAAGACGAAGCTTTTCTCCACCCTCCATCAGACTCCTAACCGATGCCAGGGCACGTCCTTGAATGAAGGAGCCACTTTCCCTGCCCTTACCGGTGAGGGGAGCTTTTTGGAGAGACAAACCTGTTGATCAGGGGCTTTTCAAAGAACATTCCTGTAGATTCTATCTTGTACTTCACCTGAAAGTATGACTGTTTATCACACTGTGCACATACCCGGGAGGGGGCGCGGGCAGCGGGGCGATGTACATAATACACCTGTTTGCCTCCTGTTTTCTCACCAGGGAGTAAAGACAGTAAACCTAACCCTCCAGGGAATGGAAAAACAAATCATTCAGTGCCTATCTCAGGTGGCTGATGAAGGCGGCGCAGTCTTGAGCGTGTACCTAAGCCGGTCCAGATGTCTGCTCGGGGTGAAAGAGCGAATACAAGTACAAGCACGTTTGCACTGGCATGATTTGGGGAAGCAGGCCAAGACCTGTGAGTTTTCGAAAGCAAAAGCCAAAGTTTCCAAGCACGCTGGGCACACCTGTAAGTACAGGTGCATGCGGATCAGCCGACCACCTCCCATGCCAGGCTGGATACGCACACGGAGGATAGCGACTGTTCACTGGGAAGTGTTTCTGGAGGAAAGTTGAAGTGTGCGTCTACCTGTTCCAGAAAGGTGGCCCAGAAAGTGGGGCAGGGCTGACACTCCCTCCGCGGGGCTCAAGGTGCACCCCCCCACACCGGGCCTGGGGCGCGCCCTCCGCCTGCTCCTGGGCGCCCCAAGGTCACCTGCCCTCCTGGGCGTCCCCACCCACCCCGAGCTCTCACCAGAATAGTAGGTTGGCCGCGACGAAGCCGAGCAGGCTGCGCAGCGGCCTCTTCCAGCTCAGGAGCTCGTCCGCGCGGCAGCCCAACCACAGCACGGGCTCCCCCAGCAGCCAGGTCACGGCGGCGGCCACCCCGCCGGCGGCCCCCTCCACCTGCCGCCCCGCGCCAGCCGCCACCGCCCCTTCCTCCTGCGCTTCCTCCCCCTGCTCCTCTGGGGGAGCCGGGGGCGGCGGCGGCCGCCGCAGCGCCTGCTCCTCGACCGCCGGAGCCGGGCATCCCTCGGCGGCGTGCTCCGGAGGCGCGGGGCTCGCCATCTTCAGCCGCGCTCGCAGGCGGGGACGGGCACGCGCGCGGCGCGCCTAGCTGTCGGCGCCGAGAGGGCGGCGGGTCCCCGCGCGGGGCGCGCACCGCGGGGCGCTGGCGGCTGGGTGCCTTGTGACGTCAGCCCTCGCGGCGGCGGTGGCGGCGGCGGCGGCAGGGGCGCCTCCCGGGGGAAGTGGGTGCGGCCAAATTCGCGCAGGGGCGGGGCGCTGGGCGCCGAGGGGCTGGGCGGTGTCCCGGGGAGCGCGCGCCCCCTCGCTGGCCGCGCCCGGGACCCGGCCAAGTCACCCGCACATCTTCACTTTCCGGGTCCCCGCTCGCCCAGACGCCCCTCCCGCTGGCAGCGGATTTGAGCCCCGCGCCCCGGCGGGGGCCGCCTGTGCAACCACAGCAGAGGTCTTTCGTTCTCTGGGAGTAACGTGATGCTATAAATGCTGGCTTGAGAAACGAACGGGAAAAAAAACAAACAAAAACGTTTGGGTCAATTAAGGAGCGTCAGGCCGCAGCGATGGGGGAGGGCGCTTCCCCATCGCGGGCAGAGTCAGCGGGGTCCCGAACGCACGCTGGTCTGCGGGAGGTGCAGGTGAGCGGGAGCTGAGGAGTCAGATCCCTGCGGAGACCCGACGCTTGGCGCGTGTCAAGTAGGGTTTGGCAAGCCTTGACCACGGTTACTTCTGAGTCACTCTGGTCTCCGTGTCTCAACAGCCATCAGGACATGGGTAAGGCGTCCGGGAGGGGGGTGACAGGGACTCCTGAGACCGCCCACCCCGGCTCTCACTGGCCCTGGTATTTCTGGGGAAACGTGAGGGGGAGGGAAGAAGGATAATTGCTATGCTCATTTTTCACTATTTGCATTTTTAAAAAATGTTCTAGTCTTTAATCCCCCTGTTCTTAACTTTTCTCTGGAATAAAATGCCCCTGCCCCCATCCCGGGCATTCTACCTGCAAGGAATTAGGGCTTCTTATATCCTCTTGGCTTTCATACTGGCAACCAGCCGGCTTTCACAAGATGGATGGGGCTCATTCCCAGAGCAATTAAAGCCTGTTGTTCCAAGGGAGCCTCTGGGGAATGCACCGTAATGCTCACCTGGGTGGTCATTATATGTTTATACCTCTGTGTATCATTGATGTGTACATTGCAGACGTGTGCACTTGGCTGCATGTATGATATATCTCAAGAGGGTATATTCCTAGAGTTCACTCGAGGGTTTCTTGAACACCTACTGCGCACCCAAATGCTTGGCCAAGCCCAGTGGATATGGCTTGCACCCACGGGAAGCTCCCAGGCCAAGGAGGGGCTAATTACAACGTGATAACTGCTGTCATGGAAGTAATTGCTCTATGCTAAGAGTCTTAACTTAAATCACCCAAATTAGGGAAAGAGTGGAAGAGTCAGGTTTCAGGAGGCTTTTGGTAATAATGGTAACTGGTCTGAATTGTGAGGAGGAGGGAAGTAAAGTGGTGGTTGGAGGAGGGGCAATAATTTCTGTTGGGAAATCAACATGAGAGAAGGTATGGAGTTACACACGGGGATGCACAGTTCCTTGTGTGTATTTGCAGCAGACGGCCAAGGCCCTGAATGATCCACTAGCGGTACAGAGTTCGGGGGTTTTCCTGAAGGCAGTGTCCGATGTGCCCCCAGGAGAATCTGACCACCTGATAGAAAGTGGCCAGGGAGGCAATGAAAAAGCACGTGGAAACAATTCAGGTATTTTTTTCCGCAAAATAGACTCTCTTTTCCCAGGTGTTGGTTCCCTCCCTTCGCTCTACTGCAGAAGCTTCTGAAAGATAAAGGGGCTTTACTGTGTGATCTGGCCTTTGTTTAGGCCTGGACACAGCCCCCAGGGGTACGATATTCTACCATTTTCACTAGACTCTGCAGCTGGAGGGGAGAAGGCCCGGCAGAGGAGACGAGGAACCAGGTCATCCTGATTGTCCAAACCAATGTGCGTGTGCTTCTAGAAACATGTTCACAAGATTCTTCATGTTCCTTCCTCTCCCCCTGAATTCTAATTATCGTCCTCAGGGTCTGTGGAAGTAGTAAAAGGTGTGGACAAGAAGACCCATAAAAGCTAAACTTGAGTTGCTACATGTGGTTTGCAACACTTTTTATCTCTATTTAAGAGAGATTATCTCTCTTATCTTTTATCCCTGCCCATAGCTATGTGAGTCCACTCACCTTTCTCTTCCAAAAGTAACTAGTAAGCTTGTAATAGGAGAAAAAATGATGAATAATTAAATCTCACTCCAGAAGGCCACATAGACAACATCAAGCTAAGCCTTAGAATGAGATGGAAAAGGGCGCCTGGGTGGCTCAGTCGGTTAAGTGACTGCCTTTGGCTCAGGTCGTGATCCTGGAGTCCCGGGATCGAGTCCCACATCGGGCTCCCTGCTCAGTGGGGAGTCTGCTTCTCCCTCTGACCCTCTTCCCTCTCGTGCTCTCTGTCATTCTCTCTCTCTCAAATAAATAAAATCTTAAAAAAAAAAAAAAGAATGAGATGGAAATGCCCCAATAGTGCTTTTATTTTCCTTAAATAGGTTTTCTTTTCTTTTTTTTTTTTTTAGGATTTTATTTATTTGAGAGAGAGAGAAACAGCACTAGAGGGGGGAGGGTCAGAGGGAGAAGCAGGCTCCCCGCGGAGCCGGGAGCCCGGTGTTGGACTCAATCCCAGGACTCTGGGATCGTGACCTGAGCCGAAGGCAGTCACTTAACCAACTGAGCCACCCAGGTGCCCCATAAAAGAGGTTTTCTATTAGAATCCTACAGTAGGCCCATGACTCCCACATGAAAGGAGCCGTGCACACATTGTATTATTTATTAGTCCCTCACATAGATGTTTTTGTGCTGATAATTTTATTGAAGCAATTTTTACCTTCCTGTTCTCACCATATCCTCTACTCCTTATTCCTAATTTTCCCTCATTTCCTTGTCACTGAGCCAAGAGAACTAGATAGTTCACTCTAAGCCCAGATAAACAGGAACACCACACCACAATAGTAACACGCAGGAAATGGAAAAGAAGATCAGACCCGGTTTCCAAGGCCTAGCTTGTAGAAGGAATTGGTTACTTCTGCTTTGGGTTGACTGTTGTGCTTGTAAGAACTGGAATGTCCAAACTAGAATGGTCTCCATTTGAGAAGCATTGGGTCGGGGTGGAGCTTACCAGAGATGAACAACCTCGCACCAACATGGTGGGCATCCATACACCAGTTGGGGCACCCAGTTTAGGGATCACTCCCTGATATTACACAAAAGAGGTTTTTAAGGCTTCAGAATGGTTAAAGAGAACGAGGTCCTATGACAACAAGAGTATATCCTGAAAAGGTACTCTTCATTTATCCCATGCACACACACACGCACACAATCAGCAAGGATGACTGCAGAACATTAACTTCCAACCCCTTCCCACTGAGCTAGCGGTCACACCCAAGTCCGCAGACTAGCCACTGCGCTGGTCCTATGTTGGAGTTGATCATCCAGAGGACGTGACTGCCAGTTGACCCATAAGCAGGACCTGGGCAACTGGAGGCTCCTTACCCCTCCCCTGTTCTTGGAACGTCTGTTTTGTAACTGTGGTTCTCACAGTGGGAGCCGTTTCAAGGATGCAGTCTTGAGAGAGGGAAGTATTGTTGCTTATCGCCTCTGTATAAACTTTTAAGATTCTGGCCGGCAGGTGTGGAGATCTTGCCCAAGACAAGCCTCGTCTGGAAGTTCTTTTGCTTATTCAGGCTGCCACCTACCACTGTGGGGTGGCCTGCCTCCTCCTTCAGTCTCTCTTTGTCCTCTCTGTAGGGTGGGGGTAAGTGAGGGGGTGTTCAGATTTCACCTGGGAAGCTGCCAAAGTTGTGAACCATCATCCTGGTCTGTAACCTCTTCTTGTTTCCCCCCCACACCCCCCCACCATGGTCCTGGTTCTATCTCATTGCAATTTTGTATCATTCCTTATTTCTTCATTTATTGATCATTAAACATTCATTAAAGGCTGGCTGTGGGCTTACAGTAAGACAAACAAGGCTGCTTATTTCCCTCCTGGCGCTAGGTCACGTGCAAGGGAACCTGAAGAAGTGATCAGTGAAGGGAATGGGGAGGTGTGGTATATGCACAGCCTGAAAGCAGGAGGGGAGCCAGCCTGGCCCAGGGAGGAAACCATGAGCAGTTCCGAGCTAGAGGACGGAGTGAGAAGAGCTCGTAGTTGCTCAAAAGGGCCTCCTCCCTGGTGCTGCTAAGGAGTGTGAGCTTTGAGGTCATTGGCGGGCTTTCAGCAGGAGGGTGAAGGGGCTTGGTTTGTGTTTTAGAAAGGTATCTCTGGGCAGTGGATTAAATAGAGCCTGGCAGAGCCACTGGAAGAAAACTTCCTTGTCATTCATTAAGGTGAGGAATGTGGCGAGGGGAACAAGGAGGTTCATCAGTGTCAGGTTGCAGGCTACGGGAGTCTGGAGCTTAGGGAGCAGCAGGGGTCCTGGCCAAGAGGTAGATCCAGGCAGAGGGAATGATCAGCAGGAAAAGAAAGGCCCAGATGAGTTCAGAGGTACCCGCCAGAGCAGGTGGCCTGCCTGGGATAGGATATGTTGAGGCTTTTGGATAAACAGACCAGATGGAGGAGAGTTTTGAGGACCATTCTCCAAGTTTAGTGGCAGTCCTGTGAGCAATGGAGAGTTCCTGAAGTTCATGGGTTTCTTTCTGTTGTTTGTTCTTAACCAAGAAAGTGGTAGACTCAAAACGCCAGTCCCCTGAGGTCCCAGGCAAGCCAGCTCGACTTCGATTATCAAAGCAAAGCTGCGGTGTGATTGACTTTAAACCCGGGTCCGCGAATCCCACCTGCAGTCCCCAGGGGTATTCTCTAAGCTAAAATTAGATTCATGGAATGTAATGAAATAGCTATGAGAGTTACACCCCACAGACATCCCTTCAAAATGTTTTTGGCTTATCACCTGTTACTAATTTTAGTTCATTAGAAATGAGGCACAAAACCTGGAGGCTGGGAGAGTGGCCCAGCCCGCGTTGAGAACACGCAGGCGGGCCATGTCACCTGAATCCTTTAGACCATGCACGAGTGGGCACAACTGGATGTTTACTGAGCCAGGGGTGTTCCTGGGGACCCTGAAGCTTTACAAGACTCACCTGTTTTCTGAACCATCAAAGGAATCTTAAGATTATATTTAATATAGTTTGGAG